TTGCGCCCCCCCTCAGCACCCTTCATGTGGGTAGCGTCTCAGAGCGCTTAACAGTGGCATGGGGAAGGTGACCGCAGGCACTGTGGAAGAGGAAAGTCTTCAGGTTTGATGTGAAGACGCATAGAGAGGGGACAAGATGGAGGGATTGAGCTCAAGAGATTCAGGCTGAAACAGTGGCTTAAAGCACGGCTGACCATTGCGGTGTGAAGGGGGCATGCAGCTGGTGATGGAGCCAGCGAAGTGGGAGGGAGGAGTGAGGTGTGAACAGAACATCACAGAATCACTTACTGTGAAGAGGTTCCACACTATCACAGTGTTCCGAGGAGGAAGTCAACACTCAAACCCTCTCTAGTGCCTATTTCCTGTGGTTTTACATCTGAAAATAACAACTTGCACATATCGAGCTCTCCACATGGGGTAGTGTCTCAGAGTGCTTATCAGTCCTGGAGCCTGACTCCAAGCCGGGGGAGGTGGCCATAAGCACAGTCGAACCCCACAAATACTGGATTATGAACCACAGAATTCTCTCGCTCTCTAATATTCTGCAACAGAAAGACAAATTGCTCCAAACTAGTCACAGTGAGATAACAATCCTCACAATCACAACCCTACAATCGCCTGCCGCGCTTGCCTACAAAACATACAGTCACTACAATACAAAGCGCAACACATCCTCCCGATGTGAAAGGCGGTGGATCAAATGTAGATATTATTATTATTATGAAACGTCTCATTGTTTCACAAGCAGATGCTGTCAGGTGTAGTGACTGTAGGTGACCGCGGCAGCCAATTGGTACCCAGCGACGTCCCAGAAATAGCCATGAGGTGCCGAGCTATTTCCTCGGGAGGATTGTCAGCTGTTCACGGGACCCATGTACATTGGAGATGATGATGATGATGAACTGTTACCCACATTGGTGTCTATCAGTGCTGGTGGCACGGAGTGAGTGAGGTGTGGCAAACCCAATGCTGAACGGCACTGTGCCCAACTCCAAGTTGTGGCACAGAAATAGTGCATAAAGAAAGGTGAGGTTTATGTTTAAACCTGACACAGCATGTTGTGGGAATGTGTATTGCCATCTCTCATTACTGCTTCTGGAAGCCAGGCCATGACATGCAACAGAAACCAAATCCTCCGCTTACTGCCCGTTCACATCTTAATAACAATAACCATGGTATTTGATACAGTGCCTTATCATGTCTTTGAGACGTCTCAAAATGCTTCACAAAATAAACTGTAAAGTGTAGTGACTGTGCATTTTGTGGGCAAAACGTGGCAGCCAACTCCCCCAGTTTTATCTGGGGGATTGTTGGCCAGGACACTGTGAGAAAGAAACTTGTTTCTCTTTCCCAATAGCGCTGTGAAGATCTTGAACACTCATTTGGTAGGACACAGATGGGGGAGCTTGGTTGCACAAACGTCTTATCCGAACGTCAATAACAAATACTTTGTTGTAACTGCTCACATCCCAATCTCAGCAATGAGAGATGGCAAGGAACACAACAAACAGATTGTTGAGTCCTGTAGCTCAGTGGTTAGAGCGCTCGCCTGACAAGAAATAGGACCTGGATTCAATTCCCAGGCAGTGCAAAACCATAGGCAACTTTCCTTCTGCACACACCTGTTTACCAACAGTAAGTAGGAACCCGGTTGTTAGTCGATTGGTGGATCACTTTCTGAGGGTAATAATCCCTTCAAAATTAAAAACAAATAAATTGGACGGTCAATCCATGACTGTTTGTGGGACGTTGCTGTGCAAAATTAACTGCTGGGTTTCCTCCACAAAATGCAGTCAATTCACTTTGCAGTGTATCCTGCGAAGTGCTTTGAGCCGTGATAAGGTGTTAAATTCAAGGATTATTATTAGTATTACATTAACATATGTATACTGTGGGCTTGTTGAATTTTTACCATTGTGTTGCTGGGAGGTCAGAAGCATCTCTCACACAAGCTAAAACTAAAACAGAGATGAGTGTTCATGTCTGAGCACTGCGGCTCCACACTGAACATACTCCCAAGCTGTGGTAGTTACTGGACTGGGAGACGTTTTTTCCCAGTTTAGCTGAAAGGAAGGTAGTGCCTTTGTCTTATATCCGTGTCTCTCTGGATGTTTATCTGGCAGGACTACACAAACTCTCCAAAGCAGGCAGCTACTTGAGGCCAGCAATAAAAAAAATGAACATGTTTTATATCAATTCAGGGACAGAATTCAAACAGGAGCCAAGTCCTGGCAGAGAAGGGAAGGAGGGGGGGAGGTAGGGCGTTTGTAAAAAACAACAACCCATCTGGAGGATGTTCCAAGGTTCTAGATGGAACCTCTGTGTCTTGTTCGACCCTCAGCTGTTCTTCAAACCCTGTTCTTCATCTGTGCCATGGTCCATTCTGCCTTCCCCACCTCCACAACATCCCCCACCAGTGGAAGGTGGTGAGATAGACCTTGAGCGAGGGAGGCAATATAAAGCTGTAAATAGATATCTGATAGAGTGTAGGATTAGATACAGCCTACAGCCCAGGGTTTCTGTATGAGCTGCTGATTAGTGGATTCCTGCCAGAGATCGCTTTCTATGAACCCTGGAGGAGAAGACACTCAGGAGCTTTGCTCTATTTTTAGCATTGGGGAATTAGAAGAAATTTTCACCAAAGTTCTGTCCTGTAAATTACAAATCAGATTGTTTTTCACAAAGAAAGGAAGAAAAGCCTGAGGCTGAAAGCTCAAGTGCTGATAGGAGGATATCTGATACCAGAAACAGTAAAGCTATGTGTAGGGTTGGCAATTTGTGGCCTCACTCTCTCCCAGTAATCAGAGGATCGAGCCATGGTTCAGCTTTGGCAATACTTCCTCACCACACTATCTCTAACAATCATAAACCTGGCGTTTTGATACATGCCTTATCATGTCATCGAGACGTCTCAAAGTGCTTCACAAATCATACTGTGTAGTGACTGTGTATTTTGTGGGCTTCACAAGATTTTACAGACGCTATGTATTGTTTGGGTGAAAAACCGCGGCAGTCAATTTACGCTATGAAACAGCCATGAGGCGAATGTCGGCCAGGACATTGGGAGACATGACCTTATCTCCTGAGAGCAGACGGAAGGCGAAGTGCCATAACATAGAATATTTAGACTTTCTGCACTCAATGTTGAAGGAGTCAATCACTAGTTACCAATTATTTGATGAGCTCTATCGCCACCTATTGGCAAACCACAGTATAACGATCCCGATGGGTGTGAGCAACACTGGTTATTGTAAAGCACAATGTGAGTAAGAATTTACACTGAACCTAAACAGGTAAATAACTAACTTACATCATAATAATAATTCTTGCATTTGATATAGCGCTTTTCACGTCGGGAGGACGTCCCAAAGCGCTTCACAGAACACACTGTAAAGTGAATTGACTGTATATTTGTGGGTGAACGCGGCAGCCAATTGCGCACAGCAATGTCCCACAAACAGTCGTGGATTGAAAATGACCAATTTATTATTGTTTTTGGTTTTGGAGGGATTATTATTAGGCTCTGTGTGGAGTAAGGAAACTTGCCCAAGGTTTCGCCCTCTGCCTGGAATTGAACTCAGATCTCTCGCTTGCAAAGCGAGTGCTCTAACCACTGAGCTACAGGACTCCACCATATCAGTGTGTGTGCGCACATTGTGTGTGTGTGCACGTGTGTGTGCATCATATCTGTGTGTGTGTGTGCGCACGTTGTGTGTGTGTGCACCATATGTGTGTGTGTGTGTGTGTGTGCAGGCGGGGAGGGGCGGGTGGTGGGGGGTTGTGAAGCAGAGTGTGTTTGTTTGGAAACTGCCCCAGAGTCAGGAACAATTATTCAAAGGTTCAAAAGCAAATCTCTGACTCTGGTTAATCGTTTACACTGAGTGTTTGTGCAATCAGCATCACATTACTACCTTCATTGTTATATTATTAATGAATAAAAATTAATTCATAATAATTAAGAGTGAGCAATCAGTGAGTCAACCATAGTGAGCAGCAAGTCAGTGATAGTGAATGGCATCACTAACAATAATAAACCTTGCATTTGGTATAGCACCTTATCACATTGTCAACACCTCTCAAATCGCTGTGCATTTTGTGGGTGAAACACAGCAGCCAATTGTACTCAGCAGTGTCTCGCAAACACTCATGGATTGAGTGACCAAGTTTATTTGAGGGATTGTTGGCCAGGACACGGTGGCGGAGGGGAGGGTGGGGGAGAGAGACTTGCAAAGCTACAGGACTCCACAGTGAATAGCCAAATTACAGTCCTGCTCAGGGATACCAACACTCTGACACCCGACACAGCACAGAACCTCTCGCCCTGGGAGGACATCTCAAAGCGCTTCACGGGATTTACTGTAGAGAAGTGACTGTGTGTTTTGTAGGTGAACTCGGCAGACAATTTGCACAGAGCAACAACTTCATTTACACAGCGCCTTCAGGCGGACTAACCTTCTGGGGCTGTGTCCTGGGTTTGGCTTTGTCACATCCTCCCGACGTCTCAAAGCTGCTCAGGTTTGAGAGTCCCGGTGTGTCCTTCAGTATCTATCGCTGATCATCAACAACAACAACAACAACAAGATTCCATTTATTGAGCGCCTTTCACGTCGGGAGGACGTCCCACAGCGCCGATCACTCAGGACTGCGGCTCCAGTACTGCACTGCACTGCACACACTGTGGCGCGGGATGATGACGCGCTGCTGTATGCGACTGTCTTCCCGCTCCTCACAGACCCCCTCACACACACACACACACAGACCCTCACACACACACACAGACCCTCACACACACACACACACAGACCCCCTCACACACAGACCCTCACCACACACAGACCCTCACACACCACACACACACACACACACACACAGACCCTCACACACACACCCACACACACACACAGACCCTCACACACACAGTGAGACACAGACCCTCACACACACACACACACAGACCCTCACACAGACCCTCACACACACACACACAGACCCCTCACACACACACACACACAGACCCTCACACACACACACACACACAGACCCTCGGCTGAGAGGCGGTCAGTGAGGCCTCGGACTGGACAGACTGTGTGAGCGGCTGAGGGGCCGCGCGGGAGGCGCTATGGCCGTCCTGTCCCCGCCTCAGCCCAACTACCTCCTGGTGAGTCACCCCGAGAGCGGCCCGAGGGGGGGCGGCCCGGGGGGGGGGGCGGCCCGGGGGGGGGGGGGCGGCCCGGGGGGGGGGGGCCCGGGGGGGGGGGGGCGGCCCGGGGGGGGGGGGGCGGCCCGGGGGGGGGAGGGGGGGGGAGCGGCGGCTCCGGGATCCGCCACATTCAGGTTATTGTTGTTGTTGTTGTTACAGTCTTTGCTTAAAGCCGATTGTTCAAACAAACCGATTGCGCAGCGATGCCATGACCTGGTGAAGGCGATGGAAGACTATTCCCCCAAGGTCTGTGTGTGGGGCAGTGTAGTGACTGTGTGTGTGGGGAGGGGAGTAGTGACTGTGGGGAGGTGTAGTGACTGTGGGGAGGTGTAGTGACTGTGGAGGAGGTGTAGTGACTGTGGAGGAGGTGTAGTGACTGTGGAGGTGTAGTGACTGTGTGGAGGAGGTGTAGTGACTGTGGAGGGTGTAGTGACTGGGGGGGGGTTGTAGTGACTGTGGGGGTTGTAGTGACTGGGGGGGGTGTAGTGACTGGGGGGGTGTAGTGACTGGGGGGGGGTGTAGTGACTGGGGGGGGGTAGTGACTGGGGGGGGGTGTAGTGACTGGGGGGGGTGTAGTGACTGGGGGGGGGTGTAGTGACTGGGGGGGGTAGTGACTGGGGGAGGTGTAGTGACTGGGGGGGGTGTAGTGACTGGGGGGGGGGGGGGTGTAGTGACTGGGGGGGGTAGTGACTGGGGGGGTAGTGACTGTGGGGAGGTGTAGTGACTGTGGGGGGGGTGTAGTGACTGTGGGGAGGTGAAGTGACTGGGGGGGTGTAGTGACTGGGGGGAGGTGTAGTGACTGTGCTGCGCTGTGCTGATTGATGGCAGGAGCTGCAGGTGGTGTTCCCCTGGTTGGTAGAGAACGTGTTTGGGAGTCTGGACGGCAGCGTTGTGGGTTGGAACCTGCGGTTCCTGTACAGTCGGACACACCCGACCGACTTCAACACCGTCAGCGAGTTTCTGGATCCCGGGTAAGAGTGTCCACATCTGCTGTCACCGCTCTGGGGAGAGAGCGCGAGACGGTCACACATGAAGGGAGGGCGTGACGGTGAGGATGATGATGATGACGATGGCCTCTTCTCTCTCTGACAGTGGGCCGATGATGAGGTTGGTTTACAGACTTCAGGCTGAAGACTATAAGTATGAATTCCCAATCTCCTACCTTCCAGTAAGTGCAGTGGGGGGGCCGTGGGCCTCGTGTGGTAATTATTATTTTATTATTATTATACTAAGGGCTGATCTGTGGGTACGTTTCCCTTCCAGCAGCACATGTGTGTGTGTGTGTGTGTGTGTGTCCTGGCAGGGGAGGGTGGCTGGGGGTGAGGAAGTGTGATGTCCTGCTCACTGTTGGGGGGGGGTCGGGGGTGAGTTTTGGTGATGGTGATGTTGAGTGTTTTATTGCTCAGGGTCCTGTGAGGGCGTCTATTCAGGAAGGTGTTCTGCCCGATTGCCCACTCTACCACAATAAGCTGCACTTCCCTTTGGTTGGGATGTCAGCCCTGAGCCTTTCATTCAGTATCCTTTCACTGGACTTGGATCGATTTCCCTTGGTGTGTGTGTGTGTGTGTGAGTGTAGGGGGGAGGGGTGAAACTGTGTGGGTGGGGCGTGAGGCTGTCTGTGTGTAGGGGGGGGGGTGAAGCTGTGTGTGTGGGTGAGGCTGTGTATGTGTGTGTAGGGTGGGGGGGGGGAGGATGTTAGTTATTTAATATTCCTGTATGTGGTCCTTGACCCGAGCCACCAGATCCCTTTGAATATTACCTGCTGAATTTCGCCATTCACCTCATCGCTCCGAGGGTGAGTGGGTCAGGATGTGGGTCAACAACAACAACAGCTGTGTGTGTGTGTAGCCTTTATACTGTCCCAAGTGGGTAAACTGAGGCCTGTCGTGTTAGGCTTCTGGCTTGCGCACATGCCGTGCTAACCGTGAACCCAGGTGCACAGGCTGAACCAGCTCAGTGCGGCTCCAGGAGCTGTAAGTAGTCAGTAAAACCAAGTCATGAACCTCAAGCCTGACTGGACATTGTCCTGATGGTTCGCTCGGCCCCCACAACCTCCGCAGACCAGAATAGCTGATGTTGGAACAGCCTGGCAGTGAGAGCAGCTGGCGTGGGGGAACAGGAGCTGAGGGGATGGATGGGAACCAGTCAGGACACAGGTGAGCAATGGCCGTGGAACCTAACCCAATGCTGGGGAACGGGAGCCTTTGTGCAGGAAAATGAGGCGTCAGTGCAGGGTCGCAGGAACTTTACTGTGAGGAGAGGGACAGAGAGCGGCAGTTTCCCCAGTGGGTAAAGCTCTTTGAGATGCTATCCTGTGTAAAGCCCGGCCTATAGGTGCAAGCTGTTGTTGTTGGTTTGCATCATTGGGTGGAGAGTGGAGGCTGATGTGTGGTTCCGGTCCCTCGTGATGTCCCTGATAACGCAGTGTCCCACTCCATTCCCGTTACAGAGCTTCCCAGTTGGGCACATCAGCACCTCAGACAGTGCCTACTTCATTCTGGTGGACAGGTACCTCAACTACTTCCTGCCCATGGAGGGCAGTGTCCCCCCAGCACCGTTCATCTCCGGCTGTGGAGCTGTATCCCCTCCGGCCCCCAGGTAACCCTCACTGTCTCCCCCCCCCCCCCCATCGGTTTGAATCCCGGCAGGGCAAAATCTTAGGCAAATTTCCTTACTCCACGCGCCAATGCTTTTACCTCGCAGTAAGTAGGAACCCAGATGTTAGTCGATTGGTGGATTGCTTTCCGGGCTAATAATCCTTCAAAAAAAGTCACTCAATCCACGACTGTTTGTGGGACGCTGCTGTGCGCAATTGGCTGCCGCGTTTCATCCATAAAATACACTTTATAGTATATTCTGTGAAGTGCTTTGAGACGTCTCAATTATGTAATAAGGTGCTGTATCAAATGCAGGGATTAGAGATTATTATAATAATCTGGACAGAGACTTTGGTGTCCCTCCCTCCCTCCCTCACTCACTGGCTTTGTGTTCTCTCTGCTCCAGAGCTCAGACGGTCCCGTTCACATCCTACACCGGGCCACACACCAGTCTCCTCAAGCGCCATATCTCTCACCAGCCCTCGGTCACCACAGACCCGGCCGCACAGGAGATCTGGCGATCAGAGATGCTGCTTCAGGTGAGTGACTGCAGCTACAGTGCCAGAAGGTATCTGCCTCCCATGGAACCACACCCAGGGGGAGCCGCCATCAGGAGGGAAGGGGTGGGGTTTTTACCCTGTTAGTGAGACCTGGGGTGGTCAGTACACACACACACTGAACCCTATTAGTGAGACACACTTACACATTAAGCCGTGACTCATCCTTTCCCTCCTGTGTTGCAGATCTTTGTAGAAATGTGGCTCCATCATTATTCCCTGGAATTATATCAGAAAATGCAGTCGCCTCAGGCCAAGGTACGTGCCTGCTGTTCATCACATATTCTCAGCGCACTTTTGATCAACTGCTGGCTTGTTGTTTAGCTGTGCCTCTCTCTGTGCCTTTCTCTGCTGGTCTCAGTGCCTCGATGCTCTTCTAGTTATTGATCGGCTTTTGCAAACCAGCTGGCTAACCTGCTTTCCTGCGGCTGTATAAGCAAGCTCTGGTATGTTACCGGCTCTCGAAGCTGCTTCAACATGTTTATGAAGAGCCAGTTGCTGTGTGTGGGGGGGAGGGAGAGGAAAGGCTCTCTGATAGTTTCAGGGTTAATGTTATCTGGTTTGGGGAACACATACTCTGCCACAAGGCTGATATTTTGCCAATCTGTAGCAGTAACCATTGTTAGCCACAGGTGAGCTTACAGTACAGTGGTCAGGGCTGGGTGCGGAGAGAAGGATGGAGAGAGGAGCTGCATGTTCTGGACTATAGAAAGTTCTGAATTGGCAGATTGCCTTTAAACCCGCCCCGGTCTCCTGTGTAGATGCTGAGCTGTCCTGTGAGGGGGCAGCCAGTGCTGCACAGGGAGCTGTGGGGTAGCTCTGCATGGCTTTATGGTTGTGGCTCTGACTGCATGTGCATTGGTTCTGCATCATTGTATTTTTCTCTCTTCTGAGCATGTTGTGGTTTCGGTGCTGACTGACTGACTGGCTTGTGTCACTGCGGTTCCAGCCCAGGGCGCAGGTATTCACATCATTAAAGTCAACCAACAGCTAACTCCTTAACCCCGTGAGGACTGCGACCTCCTGTCACGCTCAAAGTGGGGGGTGGGGGCGGGGGAGAGAGTGGGTGCTGGTAAATCCATCACCGTGAAAACATTTAGATTTTTGGTCCTCAGAGGGTTATATTAACCTGACCTGCTTGCTGTTTAATTTAACCCTTTACTGCGGCCGGTTCCTGTCTGTCTGTCGATGATCTTAAGGCAGTGAATGGTGTTAGAATTCTGATGTTGATATATTTGTGCCCAGGCAAGGTTTAACCCCTGCACTGCTGCTGGCCTGTGTGTGTGCGTGTGCGTGAGGTGGAAACCTACAGTACACCTCCGCTCACTGCGAGGCTAAAACAGTGAGGCAGTGAAGTGTCCAAAACCCTCCTTCGAAAAAGTAAAGCACAGTTACAGGTCGGCAGAGTGGGGGTTAAACCTGTAGGGCTACATGTGTCAGTCTGTGTGTGTGTGTTAGATTGTCTGTGTGTTAGTGTGTATGTGTCAGTGTGTGTTAGAGCGTGTATGTGTCAGTGTCACTGTGTTACTGTGTGTGTCTCAGTCTGCGTGTATCTGTGTGAGTGTCAGTGTGTACGTGTCAGTGTGTGTTGTGTCAATGTGTGTGTGTAAATACTCAGTGATGAAGTGTTTTTGCCTGCCGTTACTCAGTGTGTGTAATGTTTCTCTCTCTCTTTCTGTGTGATTAATGCCTGTCCCTGTGTGGTGTGTGTTCTCTGGATGTTAACCCCTCAGTTGGAGGTGCTGCGTTACCGTCTGGGTGTTTGCAGTACTCCGTACAGCACCACAACGCTGCCAGCTCACGGCACCTTCCACACCTACCAAGTACCTGTTTATTTTATTCTCTCTCTCTGTCTCTCTCTCTCATTTTTTTTTATTCTCACAAGCCACACAGTGAAAGCTGCCCCTCGTTCGAGCACTGACTGCCGTCAGCAGCCAACACTGACTCCAACCCGGAGATAAAGCCTGATTTCCCCCCACGTGGCTGTCGGTGGTTTTCACCATGTCTCTCTGTATGTGCATCAGTCTCTCTCTCTCTGTGTATCAGTGTCCCTCTCTCTCTCTCTCTGTGTATCAGTGTCTCTCTCTGTGTGTGTATCATGTCTCTCTCTCTGTATCAGTGTCTCTCTCTCTCTCTCTCTGTGTATCAGTGACTGTGTTTTAACCCAATCATCTTCCTGGGGTCACAGTCCCGGCAGCTTGAATTATTAACTGGAAAATCTCACCACCTCACCTGGTTCTGCTGCTCGAATCCCATCCGTTGTGTACATCTCTCTCTTTCTCTCTCTCTCTCTCTGCACGTCAGCATGTTGGAATGAGTGGGAATGATCCCAGAGCACGTTTTTTGGGGAGTGAGTTGGATTTTAAGGAATGGGAACAGGAATTGAACCTAAAAAGGAGAAAAAAATTCTCTGCAAACATTCAAATGCCCAAACCTGCTGCGGTGGGGTGGGGGTGGTGTGAGGGATCAGTGAACCAGCCCAGACAGTTCCCGCTATTACGTGGGGATGGTGTGTTATTCCGTGTCTCCCGGTGGCTTTAGTGATCTGCGCGCGGCTGAGTGTGTTTCCCGCCCACAGGAGCCCTTCACCCCCACAGAGGAGCACGTCCTGACGGTGCGGCTTCTGATCAAACACCTGCACTCGTTCTCCTGCTGCCTGAGTGGCCCCGAGACCCCCGGGCCCTCCTCCTCTGCTCACCCGCACACCAACAGCCCCCTAGAGGACTTCAAGAGGTTCGTCCTTAAACAACAATAATGTTCACAGTGGGCACAAACCACGACACCTGCACGCTGCACAGCGTAGTGACTGTGATTGGCTGTCTGTGCTGCCGGAGTCACTCTTTGCTCTGGGTTTCAGTGTGGATTCACGTTGTGTTACCTAATCTCTGCTATTGGAGAGGTGTCTCTCTGACATATTGCCGTGTCTCTGATGTGCTGAGTTTCAGTGAGTTTCCCTATGACTCTCCAGGCTCGCCATTCCCCGCTTCGTTCAGCACAAGTTCTACGTATTCCTGCAGCACTGTTTTGGACATTGGCCGCTGGACGCCTCCTTCAGAGCTGTATGTATCTCCTTCCTGTGCGTGTTGCCTCCCTGTGTGTGTATCCTATGTGTATGTGTGTGTATCGCCTCCCTGTGTACATATGCAATATAAAATTACATTTACACAGTACCTTTCATTCCAGCCGGTGAGGTTAAACACTGATGATTGTCTTCTCTTCGCTTGTATTTGTATCAGAGAGAAGTATCCTTGTATCCATGTGTGTAATTATGTGGACACCCAATGATTGTTTTCCTACCTCGTCTCTTTCCCTCTCTCTGTTTCTCTCTCCCGTTTACCTCCCATCTCTCTGTCTCTCTAGGTGTTGGAGACATGGCTCAGCTACCTGCAGCCCTGGAGATATGCGTCCGAGCGAGTGGCTCACACCCACGAGCAGGCTGACCGCAGTGTGCCTGACAAATGGTAATGAACAACTTTACTTTTCATTCCCAGCTTTCATTTCATTTGTTCACTCAATCCACGACTGTTTGTGGGACACTCACTGCTGTGCACAATTGGCTGCCGCGTTTCACCCACAAAATACACAGTCACTACACTTTACAGTATATTCTGTTACACACTTTGGGAACGGCTCAACGACGTGAAGAGTTGCTGTAAATGCAAGGATTATTGTTATTATAAATTAAGGGCTCAGAGCTGCTGCTGTGTATAGATGTGAACTGTTGTGCTGCTCCCAGGGCCCCCTTCGTGCAGGAGAACCTACTGCTCTACACACGGCTGTTCCAGGGCTTTGTGAGCCGGGCCCTGCGCACAGACCTGGTCAGCCCCCGCAACGCGTTGATGGTTTACCGTGTGGCAAAGGTGTACAGTCAGCCTAACCTCGCCGAGCTGGTCAGTGAAGGTGAGCACCACCCAGCGGGCAAAGGAGGAGGCCATTCAGCCCCTCCAGCTCATTCCACCATTCTGTTAGACTGTTATGGCTGATTTGTACAACTCGAAAGAACTCTAGCCAGAGCTGTTACACAAAGAGTGTGAGCACGGAGCTCACTGCCCACAGCGCTGGCTGATTGTCAGGAGAGATGTGTTTAAGATGGTTAATCACATATTGGAACATAGAAACAGGAGGAGGCCATTCAGCCCCTCGAGCCTGTTACGCCATTCTATAAGATCTGTACATCAAGTTCAATTACCTGCCTTTGCCTCGTATCGCTTAATACCCTGACCTCACAAACATCTCTCCACCTCAGTCTTGAAGATGTGAATGAATCCAGCCACAATCCACAGGCTTTTGGCGGAGAGAGAGAGTTCCAGATTTACAATGGAGGGGGAGGGAGAAGGGAGAGAGGGGGAAAGGAGTGGGGGGGTAGGGGAGGGAGTGGAGAGAGAAGGGAGAGAGTGGGAGGCAGGGAGGTTAGGAGGGAGGGAGAAAGGGGAGGGAGAGAGGAGGGGAGGGAAGAGTGGGACAAACTGGCTGGGGAATGGCTTGTTACTGTGTGACTTTGTAACGGGAGTTTTTTTTTGTGACGATAGCCGAGAACCTGCTGCTGGAGCCCGACCACATCCACCCATCCCGGCAGCACCGTGCGTACACACCCTCGGCGCTGGGTGGCAGCTTCCTGGCCCCGTGGCAATCGCCGGTGCCAGACGCCTCCTTCAGGGTGAAGAGTCATGTCTACAACCTGGAGGGTCAGAACTGTGATTATAAACCCATGTTCGGCACCGAGATGAGGAGCCTGGTGAGTCCCGCTCACTCGCACAGCGTCCACCCCGCAGCGTACACACACACACACAGCACTGATCTCACAGTGTATACACACACACTTGGCACTGAGCTGATGTACGTGATGTGGCCGCACTCTCTGCAGGTGCTGAAGCTGGCGCAGTTGATTGCGTTGGCCAAACAGACGGCAAAGTCTATCTCGAAGCAGAGTGCGGAACAGACAGCTGGAGCGGGGCTGCTGGCATTGCTGGGATTGTCCGGTTCCAGTCTTGGCAACGCCGGTTACTGCGGCTCTGACCTGTACGACCTGGGACCCGACGGCATCAGGAAAACAGACGAGTATTTGGAGAAGTCGCTGGAGTATTTGTGCAACATGTTCCGGGTAAATGTCAAGGTTGTGTCCACGAGAGACTCTGGGTTTGGGTGAGTGGTCAGGTGGAAGCCAGGGGAGGGATGGGGGCTCCGCACGCAGCCTCCCCCTCTCTTCAGATAGATATTTATTAGGTCAGGGTATCAAGAGAAATGGGACAAGGACGGGTAATTGGAGTTGAGGTTGAGATCAGCCATGATCTTATAGAATGGCGGAACAGGCTCGAGTGGCTGAATGGCCTCCTGTTCCTATGTCCCTTTCCCACCCGGTGCTCAGCCGTTCGCAGTCACTGACTAATGATTGCTCCAGGATAGGCGTGGATATTTCTCACCTTCTTCAGGTATTAAACCATTGATTAAATCATCAGTGGTTTAATACCTGAAGAAACATTTGTTTCTTCATTTCAACAAACATCAACAACTTCAACAAACATTTGTTGGTGAAATATGAAAGGTTGACCTTGTGCTGTTTGTCTCTGCAGTTAAACCCCTCGCAGGTCAGCCAGCTGTCCAGCAGTGTGGGGGCGGCCAGTGAGGAGAGCAGCCAGCCCAGCCTCCCTGACTGTGTGCAGGGAGACCACGGGCTGATCCTCACCCCACTGGGCAGATACCAGGTACGATAAACCTCCACTCTCAGTTACACTGTGTGTGTGTGTATGGGGGGGGGGGGGGGAAGATACTGATGTGTGCAATTGTCTATCTTGTTTCACCCATAAAATAGTGAATCACTTTACAGTGTATCCTGTGAAGCGCTTTGAGATCTCAACAGTGTGATAAGGTGCTTTGTCAAATGCAAGGATTATTATTATTCAGGCTGACAAATTCCAGATTGTTTCAATTTCAGTCCCTCCTGTGTGATCTTTTCTAAGACTGGGTGGAATTCTGTATGCTGTTTACATTGGGGGGGGGGGGGAGGATAACCCAAGGAGGTCAGCACTGACTATAGATGAAGTGATGGGTGAGAGTTGTGGCTGAGATGTGACAGACTGAGGTAATTGTTTGCAGATCATCAATGGACTGCGGCGCTTTGAGATCGAGTATCAGGGAGACCCTGAGCTCCAGCCCATCCGCAGCTTTGAGAGTAGTGTCCTCGTCCGCCTGCTGTTTAAACTCTCGTCAGCCATCAACCAGCGAGTAAGTCTATCTGTCTGACTCCCCCCCCCCCCCCCCCCCCCCATCTCTCTCTCTCTCCCTCCCTCCCTCTGTCTGTCTCTCTCCCCATCGCTCCTTTCTCTCTCTGAGCAATAACACGAGAAAGAGATGAATGTAGATGAGTAATGACGAGTGATCTAACTCGTGTCTCTGTGCTTTTTTTTCTTTGCTGTAGTTCTGTGGTGAGCTGGCTGCGCTGTGCCAGCGGGAGACCTTTGTGGGGAGGCTGATGAGCTGGTGCCTGGTGCCGCCGGAGCGGAGCAGCAAGGCCCGATGTAGCCCCCTGACACCTCACTCACCCCCCCAGCCACGGGTCAGCCTGCGATTCCTGGCCAGTTACCGCACTCTGTCCTCCCTCTGCCTCCTGCTACTCATCGGCTATTACTTCAACATGTGCCCTGCCCTGTCCCTGCTCCTGCTCCTGGGTGGGGGCTTTCTCTACGCTGCCGTGCAGACCCTCCTCACTCAGCACCGGAGGCCACATCAATCCTGATATTAATGCCCAAGAAATTCCTGTTTTTTCTGGTTAGAAAAATATTTTTTACGCTGCTTTCTCCACAGCGGAAATTGTTTTATATAAAGTGTCAAAACCAACACTGAGCTTTTGCGAATTTTGTATGAAATTAAACTGGTGACGGTTTTGTAAGAAAGTGGAATCCTGCGATCACTTCTGGTGAAGGAGAAAGAACATGATATTCTGCTTAACAATAAATAAATATTCCCGGAGTGACAGCTCAGACAAGGCCAGATTTGATCAGGTCTGATTTTGTTTGGTGTTGTGCAGTGTGGAGGTGGGCGACAGGTGCCGTTGCCCGTTATTAGATGCTGGACCGTGGGAACAGTATAAGGAAGTTTAATGCATAGTGAGGTGATTTGTACTGTACAGAAACCCACGTGGCGGCTGGTGTGTGTGTGAGCAGCGTGCGGTCACTAGGGGGCAGCACTGGCTCTGTGTTACAGCATCACAATAAAACCTTCCGGTAACGACTCTTCTGCACAGTCTGGACTCGCTTCTGCCGCTCGGACACCCTGTTCCCCACCGTCTGCTTCAGAGCTGGGAGCACAACCCTGTCTGCTATGGGCAGCCGGCTGTCTGGCCTGGGGAGGGAAACCAGGGTCAGTGTGGGGGGGAGGCAGGGGCACAGGGCAGGGTCTCCCTCTCAGGGGGCACTGCCCTCTCAGGGCACAGCACTGAGGACTGTTGGAAACTTACATTTTTTTTGATGAATGTCTCAGAGGCACTTTGGGGAGTCGCATCCCATCGTTCTGTCTAGAAGGAAAAACACATTCAGACGGCTGGTTGGGGGTTGGGAGCAATTTGTTTTCCACATTGAGGTTTTTAAGTATACTCGGCCGAGGTGTTAGCTAAACCTGTGAGCCTCCCACCCGCCCAGTGTCACACCAGCCACAACCACTGGGCAACGTGTACAATATTCCCCCCACTCCACAAGCAAAGCTCCAGTGTATAAGGTTAGGATCGTGGTGTGATCAGGGTGAAGGCTGCTGATCAGAAGAATCCAGTAACACGTTCACATGGATAACCTGTAACCAATAACCGGCAATTGCTGTGGTAAATGAATCAGTTAATCGCCAGAGAACATTTCAGCTGGACTTTAGTTACAAAGGGCGCAGTGGGGGCACAGACAGTATGGTGGGCAGCTCTGGTGAATGTGGGCAACATTTCGGTTTGGTTATAAAAACTGAATTAAAGCTGTTTCCAGTAAAGACAATGAATGAGGTAAAAACCCTGACCTGTGCTCAGCGAGGTAGGCCTTGGCCAGGAGATAGGCATCTGGAGACCACTTGTTGGCAAACAGGATCTCTCCCAGATTGGTCTTCAGGCGAAGCAGCTGAGAAAGGCCGTTACACACGTCATGTTTAGCTCTCACCCCGGCCAATAACAACAACATTACACTCTCACCAGTGCTCTCGCTCATCTGTAACACTGAGAACCTATGATGTGAGTAACAGGATCAACAGGACAGAGGTGTGGCCCCAACATCACATCCCATCACATGGGGGTCAACTGGTCACATTGTTCATTCTGTAACTTGTCACCAGCATTTGTCTTGTGTAGTAAATGTGAACTAGTTAATTGCAAACGAACATTTCAGTTGGACGTTGGTTGTGGCCGGACAGGACACTGGGAATAGGCTTTGGTTACCCAGCGCTGTGGGATGCGATATAAAACAAGTTGTTGTTACCTCCCGAGACTGCAGGTCGCTGGTGCTGTGCATGTGCTGGATGATGAGCTGGCACTCCTGCAGGGTGGGTGGGCGAGGAGGCAGTGAGTGATTGATCTGGACCAGGAGGGGCGTCAGTGATATGATCAGCATCTGTGTGTGGTCCAGGGCCCCAGGCAGAGCCATCACCGGCTGGGCAACCTCCCCTCTCCAGCTCCTGCCACAGGGAAAGAGATGTCTATTAGTGGCCACAACATACAGCTTTCTCTGTTCTGTGTCAGCAGTACGAGTGCTGTTTGTGAGCACTGTAACTGCATATCAGTCAGGGAGCGAAGCTTATGGTGAATTTCTGGCCTGCAAACTAGTCACTACACGCTACAGTGAATACTGTGAAGCGCTCTGAGACGTGCTGCTGATGTGGAAGGTGTTGGGGTTGTTATTATTTACCTGTGATCGTCTTTGTCAGTGCAGAGCCTCTGAGCCGACCCCTCCTCCGTCTGTACAGCGCAGGGCAGTCGGCTGGGCCGCGCCTGGGCTCTGTCTGTAACACAACACAATCAGGAGGCAGTGAGGCACTTGGGAGCTATTCCTAATTGTCCAAGCTTATCCCGCTGCGAGTTGGAGCAACTACAGCCGGCCCACAGGACCTTTTACATCAAGTGTGAGCGCCAGAGGAACTGGTGGGGCCATAGCAATCTCAGATCAATCACCTTACAAGCCCTGGTTACCTTTTGGTGACATGAATAATGTCAAACCCAACACGACTGAAAGTCTGAGTGTGAGGAGAGCTGTGTGGTGGCTGTTTACCTGTGGAATATTCTCCAGGACTTGGCTGAGCGCAGTCTGTAAATGAACTACTTTGAGAAATCCCAGAGGAGATCCTTTCTGGAATAAAACAAGTGCAATTTAAAACCTGCAAGAAACATACATCCAACACAAGACCCCGAATTCCAAGGTGGAAGTCAGCGTACAATGAGTCCGATATATATAGGAACAGGAGAAGGCCATTCAGCCTAGGCAGGAGCAGCCCCCACCCCAGACGGAGGGGCAGCACTAACAACACCAGCTCCCACAGCCAGTTTATCATCTCCCACTAGAGCCAGGCAGATCAGCAAACTCCTGCTCCACAGCCAACACTGTCTGGGACAATGGATCATTGCTGGCCATTTGCAAGCAGAGAATCCACTGTGGTCAGTCAGTGGAGAAGTCACAGAAATAACACCACACAATCACACAGTCATACCGTCACACAGTACACACAGTCACACTACACACAATCACTTACACACCATACATACTGATAAGGAACTTTACCATTTGGGCTTCTCGGGTTCATAATAATCTTAAAATGAAGATCTGTAGAAAAATACAAAAAGAAATGTCACGTGAGAATACAGACAAGAGGAAACGTGAGGAAGAATGGGTGTGTTTAGCGCCGGAGGCAAGATCCTCAACATTTTGAAGCTACACGACTGTTTGTGGGACGCTGCTGTGCACAATTGGCTGCTGCATTTATATCTCAGTAGAACGACTGTATCAAATATACAGTCATTCACTTTCAGTCTATTCTGTGAAGTGCTTTGAGACGTCTAGAAGACGTGAAAAGCGCTATATCAAATGCAAGTATTATTCTTTATTATATACCTTGTAATGTATTGTATTGAATAGCACAGGTTCCTTACCTTTGTTTTCCTGTTTAAGCAGCTCAATTTCCTCGTGCAGTTTGCCCAGAGTGTCCGAGTGCTGTTGCTGCAGGAATGTGAGGTTTTTCTCCAGGGCAGAAACTCTCTGCCAAGGGTCCACATCCTGATAGCCAAACAGCGGGTCACACTTGGCAGCAGCTCCATTTGTTGCTGTGTCTGTGGCCGGAGCAGCAGGAGGCAGAGGCTGGAGTTTGTCCTGCAGGAAAGCACGAGGGTAACGAGATTTATCCAGTATCCCGACACGGGACCACTGAGGTAGATTGCCCGGAGGGGGCAAGTTATTGCTTGACATTTCTCCAGAAGAGAACACTTTAAAATAGAATTCCAATTTTTTTTAGTTCTATTGAGTTACAAATCCAACCGAACCAGAGGCGACCAATAATAATAACTCCTGTCACAAGCTGTTTGTCCAAGTTGCAAAAAATAACAAGCTTTCAATTTGTGTTTCTTTTTGTCAACCGATTATTACATACATCTAGATAAATACACAGCAGATTTGTCTTTTATTATTAAACCTTCTGCTTTCAGACTTTATATGTATTATCTTAAAAACAAGAGTTGCTAGACTGAAAGTTTACTGCACTTTTTATGCTTATATTGCAACACAAAAAAAACATTAAAAACTAACAGATGTCTCATGATAAATATTTTTTTTTCCTAATAGTTAAACGTTGGCTCACAAACATCCAGGGCAAAAACTCTAAAAGTCTTAGCACAAACTTTGGTCTTTAACTGAATGTCAGACGATTCTATCTCCGGCCTCTTGAATTGCCTTTGAATTCCAGGTTTCCTTATTTTCAAATAAATTTTTCCGGCTGTTTTCAACATGTTTGGGTGCTCGCTGCAGAATCCGTTCAACAGCCCATTTTGGGGATCAATCTGAGCGAATTGCTCTTTTACAACAGTCTCATAAGATCACAACTTTCAACCACTGTGGGAGAGGGAAATGCTAATTAATTCATTTATATTCTTCAAACTTTTTCCAAACAACTGCAATCTGTTGTCAAGTACAGTGACTCCACTTAATTGTATATTGATCGGACAATAATTGAAGAGCAATTTCCAGCTACTGAAAGTTCACTATTTGTTTGTGTGGTTTTACACTCCACTCAGATAGTTGCATAATACTTAGTTTGAATGAAAGACAGAAAGTTGATTTCTTCTGTACCTGTATAATTGGTTTGGATAATTGCTTTGGTTGAGGAGTTGACTGTGTGGAGTGCATGTTTCGAGAGGCAGCGCAGCGCAGAGAGTGAGTCTGGGAATCAGGTCTTATGTTCTGAGCTTTGCTTCCTGGAAAATTTGCATTTGCGCTTTGGGACGTCCCCCTGACGTGAGGATTATTGTTATTACAGTGGAATACTTACAGTGGCTCACGGTTTACCTGCCCTGTCAACTGCGCAGTGGAGACTTGTTATTGATAAGAGTTTAGGGTGAGGAAGGGAACCTTCCCCCTCAGCGCCCACCAACCCTGACTGACGGGTCGGGTGGTCCGAGCTGGACAACAGGCAGCGGGAAAGCTCGGCCAGACACAGACACACAGACGGACACAGACACACAGACAGACACAGACAGACACAGACACACAGACAGACACAGACACACAGACGGACACACACACAGACGGACACAGACACACAGACAGACACACAGACGGACACAGACACACAGACGGACACAGACAGACACAGATACACAGACTCTCTCTCAAGGGCTGATATGTGGGGTTGAGCTGTCCCCCCCCCACCCCCTGTGGGGTTACCCCCCACCCTGAGCCGTGGCTGTCGCCAACCTGTGCCTCACCTGTAATGGGAGACGGTGAGTCAGGAGATCAATAATAATCATTTACAGATTATTATATTAATATTAGTTACAGTGACAGCGGACCAGTAACAACATAATGTGGAGCAATAACCGCGACACTGAGCCCCCGGGGGGGGGGGGGGGGGGGGGGGGGGGGGGACAGAGGGGGGGGACAGGGGGAGAGGGACAGGAGGAGAGAGAGAGGGGGGGACGGGGGGAGAGAGAGAGGGGGGGGACAGGGAGAGAGAGGGGGGGGGAGAGAGAGGGGGACAGGGGGAGAGAGAGAGGGGGGGGACAGGGAGAGAGAGGGGGGGGACAGGGGGGGGAGAGAGGGGGGACAGGGGGGAGAGAGAGAGGGGGACAGGGGGGAGAGAGAGAGGGGCCGCGCCGCCTCGGGCCGTGTGTCCGGGCGTCGGTGAGAGGTCGGTGCCCGGGGGGGGGGGGGGGGTCGCGGGTGCCCCGGTGAGGGGGGGGTCGCGGGTGCCCCGGGGGTGGGGGGGGGGGGGGGGGTCGCCTTCCGGACTCACCGCAGCTCCACAGCCCGAGCGGCGCCAACAACAGCTGTTGCTAAGGGCCAGAGTGGCCGTTGCTAAGCGTGAGAGTGGCGGTTGCTAGGGGGTGAGAATGATCGTTGTTAGGGGGCGATGGCCGTTGTTAGGGGGCGATGGCCGTTGTTAGGGGGCGATGGCCGTTGTTAGGGGGCGATGGCCGTTGTTAGGGGGCGATGGCCGTTGTTAGGGGGCGATGGCCGTTGTTAGGGGGCGATGGCCGTTGTTAGGGGGCGATGGCCGTTTTAGGGGCGATGGCCGTTGTTAGGGGGCGATGGCCGTTGTTAGGGGGCGATGGCCGTTGTTAGGGGGCGATGGCCGTTGTTAAGGGGCCTTTGCGGCTGATCCCAACATTTTTCTGAACACAGAAAACTCACCTCTGCTTTAGCCCCAACACTCCCCATCAGCCCCACCACTCCCCATCAGCCCCAACACCCCCCATCAGCCCCAACACTCCCCATCAGCCCCAACACTCCCCATCAGCCCCACACCCCCCATCAGCCCCACACACCCCCATCAGCCCCACACCCCCCATCAGCCCCACACCCCCCCATCAGCCCCACACCCCCCATCAGCCCCACACCCCCCATCAGCCCCACACCCCCCATCAGCCCCACACTCCCCATCAGCCCCACACCCCCCATCAGCCCCACACCCCCCACCCCCCCCCCCATCAGCCCCACACCCCCCATCAGCCCCACACCCCCCATCAGCCCCACACCCCCCATCAGCCCCACCCCCATCAGCCCCACACCCCCCATCAGCCCCACACCCCCCATCAGCCCCACACTCCCCATCAGCCCCACACCCCCCATCAGCCCCACACCCCCATCAGCCCCACACCCCCCATCAGCCCCCACACCCCCCCATCAGCCCCACACCCCCCCCCCCCCCCCATCAGCCCCACACCCCCATCAGCCCCACACCCCCCATCAGCCCCACACCCCCACATCAGCCCCCACCACCCCCACATCAGCCCCACACCCCCCATCAGCCCCCACACCCCCATCAGCCCCACACCCCCATCAGCCCCCCACACCTTCATAAGAACATAACACCTGGACAAAAGATCAAGGTCCACCCTGACCTCCCCCCCTCCTGGCATTCACTTGCATGAGCCGTGTCCCAAACATCAGTGTCAAACATTGGTTATGTACACAGAGGCTCTAATATTTTATACACTGACGATCATCACTGTGTTTAACTGCGAGAACGTTGTGTGGAATAGAAACAAACACCGACTGAGGCTGAAGTTGGTTTGGAGGCCACAGCACTTACCTACACAAGACGTTGTTGTTGAGATGAGACATTAGGTCCTGTGTGTCTGTCTGTTTGTTCAGGTTTTAGCGGTGGATATTCTACGAGACAATCAAAGAGGTGGGAGTTTCTCTCACTCTCAATCCCAAACAACAATCCTCCAAGTAAATTTAGGGAAGAGACAGGGAAATAGGAGTGTTGGGGCTTTTGTGGAATATGAACACCGGTACGGACTGGTTGCATTGAACATCCCGTTTCTATGCTTTATCACTCCACACAACTCTGTATAATCACTCGTTCACTCAGGTATTGCTATGCCCAAACTTGCTGCTGCAAGTGCTGTGAAGGGCTTTGGGATGTTTTGACACTACAGAAACATGCACCGTGGTAAGGATTATTACATTTATAAAATGCTTTTCAAATACAAAGCATCTTTACCCAAAAATAACTTGAAATTAAATGTGCAGACAAAACCACATCAATAAAACAACTATCAGGGGAAACTTCCACAACCATTTGAGCTTTCCTTATCAGTCAGCTATTGTAATAAACTCCGCGAGGTTAATATTGCAGCCAGTATTAACATTCAGAAATCTGGCAGCAGCTCCACAGCCCGGGCTGCAGGCGGCACTGTACATCAGGAGCAATTTTATTAAATATCGTTCAAACATGAAGCACTGACGTTGAGTTCACAGTTCAGGATGACGCTCCAATGCAGCACTGGTGGTGGGGGTGGGGGGGGGGGGGAGGCGGGAAGGGGAAGGAGGCGCCCTGCATGTCAGAGGGGCCATCACACTGATGTCGCAGCTGATGTTAAAGGTCCCCGCAGTGAGACTAAAAACACAAAGTTTCTTCCAGTGTTGTCCTGGCCGACATTCCTCCAGAAATCAGTCATTCGCCTCGTGGCTGTTTGTGGGAGTTGCTGTGTGCCAAATGGAATGGCTGCACATGATCTTGAGTTCCTGTAGACGTTTAACTTGGAACTAAGCTAATTGAGATGCAACTGTTTAATACAGTTAAATTCATCCCTCAATCCTGCATTACCCTGGATAAAGTGGCTGCTACACATATGGAAAACAAGCATTTATTCCAGTGGTGGATTTCAGGGTTACATTATAGACATGTACAAACCCAGTAACATACACAGAGAGTTGCCCCCTCTCACTGGGGAGACACTCTCAGCAAAACACTATGTGAAGTAGAAACGAGTGAGGACAGGGCTAAGTGTAAATAAAATGTAAATAACTCTTGATACATATTTTATAATTCAATACATGCTAGAAAACAGTCCCATCTCACTGACAGTGATCAGAACAGCTAAAGGCTGCAGTCATGCTGATTTCCTAGCACATGTCACTCTCAGTCCTTCCCATTGGACAGCGACACTGTAAGGTTCCCACGGTGGAACACGGGCCGATCATGCTGCGGACAGGCAGACCTGCCGGATGCTCTGTGCCCACGTGTTGAGCAGTGCTGTAACAGAGTGCTTGTCGGGGAGCTGCAGGAGTTTGGACGTCATGGTACGGTGAACTGTTTGCAAGAAGGGATTGGCGTCTGCAGTGAACAAAGACAGCGATGTGGTTACTGAATGGTTTCATCTCCATCCTCACTGACAGTTGCCAACACACTCTCATCACCGGCCTGTGATTAGCACAACACAACGAGTAAATATAAACCCAGTTCACAGCCTGGGGAATGTGGTGCCTGAGAAAGCCGTCACTGGGGATTTGTAGTGAGTGGGAAAGCTGAACATTAGCCCAATGCCAATGTCCTGAGCAACACGTGACTTCTCTCCTTAATCCACAGCTGACCCCTAAACGCCGGGGAATGGGGGAGATAAATCGAGGAACAAACTTCTGAGAATGAGTGACCAGCTGGAATCAGGGAGCCAATAAGCTGCCAGGAAATAACCAATAACAAGTGTTTACCTTTGCACATGGGGCCATGTTACCCTGGGGCCCGTGGATAGGGCTCCAAATTCATCAACAAAAACACTGATCACGGAGACAAGCACAGGAAACGCCTGTAACCAGCAAAACCATCTCTCACCAACTCCTCATACTCCCCATCGAAAACCTTACCGTACTGGAAAGAGTCATCTGTCCACTGGGGGCTCTGGTCGGGGTAGTCTGCAGGCACACTCAGCTGGAGTGGGGGCACACTGGGCAGGTTCTTATCATCTGAGGAACACAAAGTCAAGCTGGTGGGGGGGGGGGGCGATTAAAATACCGACTGGAGGAGGCGGTGCTCCGGGGAAGGGGGCGGTGCTCCAGGGAAGGGGGCGGTGCTCCAGGGAAGGGGGCGGTGCTCCAGGGAAGGGGGCGGTGCTCCAGGGAAGGGGGCGGTGCTCCACTCACCTAATTTGCAGATGAGATGAACGGTTCCATTGTTGCTGCAGTGGGAAGGGTCCAGGTTGACCAGGAATTTGGGGTTTAGCCGGGCCACCTCGCCCTGTAACACATTGGGAATGGTCTGCCTCTCGTCGTCTTCGTGTCTCCGCTTGCGCGGGGAAATCATAGGTGCCCTGGGGAAACAGCAGCCAGTCAGGGAGGAGCGGAGAGGGCAAATCACTGGGCCCTGGGGAAACAGCAGCCAGTCGGGGGGAGCAGAGCAAACTGGGCCTGAACCATTAGCAAACCATCCTCTCTCAGGGGTCTTTCGGTGGAAGATGCATGAATCAAAGCTAGGTGCAATGTCCATCACAGCTTCTACTCCAGGATTACCACAGCTTGTCCTGGGAGCATGTGCCCTGATGTCAGCCTGGCTCAGGCTAACACTAACTTTGCCCAGGCCGAGGACAGACTAAAGTGGTAGGTGTCTCGCTGATGATTGTGACAAGTGTTAATCTGTAGCAGAACCTCCATGAGGTATATTTGTGACTACTTCACTCCAAATTAATGCAAATCCATTGATTATTCAGCGACTAAACACTTGTGTGGTTCTGAAGAGCTTCAGAGGCCGTTAGCTCCTGTGGCAGAGTTTAAATTGGTCTCTGGAGGTGGGTGAACCCTAGAATCTGCTGTTTGAAAGAGCTACCGCTGAGGTATGTTGGTGTCTGGGGAGTTACGTACGTGATGGTGACAGGATGAGATTACATACGTGATCGGAGGCCCGTGGATGGCAGTCATGGCTGGCCCGAAGGTTCTCTGCAACGAGTGGTTGAAGACGGGCGAGCGGATGTTGGCAAGGACGGCATCCAGCAGGGGTTGGCACAGGTACTGCTGCTTCGTGGTGGGCACTGGTGGTGGGGGCGGTGTGGGCTGGGGGAGACGGGAGAAGCTTGATTACCACTGCTCACTGCACACAGCTGCCTTCCTCACGTAGACAAGGAACGTACCCTCATGTTAGCCAGTTACTTTACCATGTTAGTTAGTTACTTTACTATGTTAGCCAGTTAGTTTAATTATCAGAGTTGAAGAGCTGGTGAGAGAGAATATTTCCTCTTTTTCAACTTTGTATTATTTCAACTTTTGAAAGACAGTCGAAAATTCTAATATAATATTCACACAATATATTTTGCAATGTTTTATTTTGTACAAGTTTTAATATTAATGAAAATAAGGTAAACTGGCGGGTGGGTGAAGGGCAGGAAGTCTCTGCTTATTACACTGGAGTCCTGTAGCTCAGTGGTTAGAGCACTTGCTTTGCAAGCGAGATACCTGGGTTCGATTCATGGCAGGGTGAAACCTAGGGCAAGTTTCCTTACTCCATACAGAGCCTAATAATAATCCCTCAAGATAAAAATCAATAATAAATTGGTCATTTCAATCCACGACTGTTTGTGGGACGCTGCTGTGCACAATTGGCTGCCGCGTTTCGTCCCAAATATATAATCAATTCACTTTACGGTCTATTCTGTGAAGCGCTTTGAGACGTGTAAAAGACGTGAAAAGCACTATATCAAATGCAAGGATTATTATTATTATCATTACACTGAAAGCGGCAGCTCACCACAGCCATGTCGTTCTTCAACTTTTCCAAAGCAATTTCACATTTCTGTAGAGTCGCCAGGGAACAGCTAGAGAAATCAACAGAGAGAGAGCGAGACAGAGAGAGAGACACACAGAGAGACCGCACAAACCACACAGTTAGCTTACATATCAGCACTAAGATCAGTTCTCCAATACAACACAAAGAAAACTATACTTTGAGACAAGCCCGTTATAACATGGCATTTGCATGGTTTTGAAACAATCGTTTTGACGGGGAAGGAAAAATACCTTGAAATGAGGAAGCCTCGGTTTGTAACCAGACACCAGATGACAACTTGAGACTGCACTTTTGGTCCTTTCCCATCTCCCCTTGTTCCCCCACCCCGTGGGTTTCCCTCTCCCTAGGGCCCAGCGCTTGCTGATGTTCTCCTGATGTGAAAGGCCCCAGATAATGTAAGGTGTAAGGTCCTGTGCTGGGTGTCTTACCGCTTGTTGGGGTCAGTGAGGATGTCCAGGAGGCTCTTCATCTTACTCAGGTCTTTCTTTCTGTCTGTAAGACACAGAGGTTAGTCCAGCTAAACCAACAGCAAACAGCTACCCCGGTTAGTGCAGATTCAGGCTACACAAGACGTAACAACACAAAGGAGATGAGCCTCTGTGTCAGCCCACTTCCCACCGCTGAGAGATATAGGTACAACAAGCAAACAGCTCCTAACCCAAACCCCAACCCAACTCACAACCAGCCATTCACCATGCGCAGGACACACAGAAACTATTTGGGGTTTCCCTTCCAAGGTGAAACGCTTGGTCACAACCTTAACTTAAAGAAAAAAAGGTCTTGTATATTTATAGCACCCGGTCACCACACTTTACAAACGTGTGGCTTGACAAATGATTGACTAATGGGAGCCCTGACCACAAACACTCACCTTCATTTTTGTCGATCTTGTTGATCATGCGTCTCAAGGGGTCGATGTACTTAGACAGCTGCTTGAGCTTGTCCAGGTATTGCTGTTCCTCTGTCTGTGTGCGGCCGGCAGGACTGGGCACCGAGCCAGGGTTCCCTGCAACACAAAGCCAGTCACTGTTACCTGGACCGCACCACCTTAACATCTTTTAACCAGCTGCTCCATAAACAATGCTTTGGCCATTTTAAGCAAGAGCAGCTGGCTGGCTCGGCAGGACAGACACACTACATCAGGAGTTAGAAACGAAGGCTTTCCACCACACAGTGAGGATTAACACTCACCAAAACCAGCCCAACCCTCGCTCATTGAATCAAATACCAAGTGCAGTGGGGACATTTCTGCTGGTATGAGCTGCTATAAGGTGCTGTGTGTGTGTGTGTGTACCCTGGCCACACTATGCTGTGTGTGTGTAGCTGGCCACACTATGCTGTGTGTGTGTGTACCCTGGCCACACTATGCTGTGTGTGTGTGTAGCTGGCCACACTATGCTGGGGCTGGTGTGATGGGTACCTGGAGTGTTGAGGGGCCCTGGGGAAGGCACGCTGAAGGCTTGTGGTGTGCGAGCGGCTGGGCTCTGTGTGGTCTGTGCTGATGGACTTGGCAGGAAGGCACTCGGTGATGGGGCTGGGCCAGAGCTGGAAGGAGAAACTGGCTGTAAATATACACAGAGGTAAATATACTCTGAGGTAAACGGTACCAAGTCCCTGTTTACAACAGAATTCCTACTTCCCTGTGAAGCACATGTCAGCAAGTGGTTCCCACAGTAACCATTAATTATTAAACGTAGACAGGCGTATTCTCTGCGCATCCCCGCTGAAGCTGCGTGTCTGAATTGCCCGATCCTGAGACGGAGCAGAAACTAAAGCCAACATTCTAATCCCGGCTGCCAGAACACGAGCACATCGTGGGCTTCGGCTAAACAGTCGACAACCCAGCAACAGGCTCCTTCCTCACTGATACCCCATGGACTGCCATTGTGTCCACTGCTGGGGGCAGCCACATTGGGCTGCACACACCCAAATACCCAAGCAATGAGAGGCACACTCACACACAGACCACTCACAGACCCTCCCCCCACCCCCACACCTGGAAGAAAACTAAAGAGAAATTAACTTGCAGTTTACTTTAAAATGGACATGGTTATTACTGTAACAAGGCTGCAGACAGTGATATTGCAGGGTGTGAGTGAAATAAAAGACAGAGAGTTAAACCAGGCAGTCGGTCACGGCACAGTCATGTCTAACTGCTCTCTAAAGCTTTACACATTCAGAAGGTTTGTGCACCGATGATAACATCGATTGAAAAAGTTACTGCTGAGATGTTCACAGGGCAGGAAATGTCCCCGTTATCTATCACACCACTGGTAAATCCTGGCTCCTGTTCATTATTGTCCCCCCCTCCCAATGAAATCATCCCGCAGCCACAAGCCACATTGTGGGTGTTAATCGCAGTAACTGTACATGCCTCTCTTGCCAGCGATGCCTTACCTGACGGAGCTCTGCTGTGAGGCTGGAGGCTGTGGTGAGGGCTGTGGCTGGGGCGGGGGAGGCATGCTCTGAGTTTGCTGCCCTGGAGATGGGATCGTGGCGATGGCATTGCTAACCTGCAGGCAGATACACACTGGCAATGCAGGCAACGGCAAGAAACAGACCTCACACATACCCCCTCACACCCCACAGAGCTGAGCCGAGGGAATGAACTCCCGTAGGTAGAATGTGCGAAGATCTAGCCTACATCACTACAAACTACCGTCACCAGCTTGTTGCTAGGATAAAATTCTAGGATAAAGTTACTACTAACCCAATTCTAGTACATTTAAACTTACCGCTTCCCTGCAGTATCTAGAGGTAAGTTAGTTACTGAGATGATCGACATTGCAGGTGTAGTGCGAGTCTGCCCTGCTGCTCTCTACATTACACACAAGAAAGACTGACAGAGATGCCAAACGTACATTTTCACCTTATGTTCATCTGACAATTGCGGCACCTTTGGCAGCTCTTTAGAAAAGAACGTCTAATGGCTGAAATGTTTTCCGTGTTCTGTTTTCCCTCTGAACACAAAGTGAAATTTAACAAAAGCAGCAGCCTTCGAGCCAGAAAATGAAAGGCCTCAGGTTCGTGGTGAGAACAGACCCAATGCTCTGTACCCTCTCACACCCAAATCTCTCGAACTTAAGCCAGTAACAATCTTGCTAAAGGAAATAAGATTTCATAACTCCGTGAGCCATTTCAGGAGCCAGATTTAATTCCCAGTAAATACCAAATAAAACACACCGAGTGCAATTCAATAACTTGTAAATTCAGAGCACAATTACTTCAAAAGTAGTTTGTTTTTAAACCAATAACACTTTTATTCTCTGTTAGTTTAGCAATGCGGAGGGCAGTTGTGTCCCCACCACCAGGTCTATTCTGCTCTCACACCAGCCACACGGATACGATCAGTTATAATATCCTCTCTGGTGGAACACAAGGGCATCACCATGTGCTGATATCACGCTCTCAGTGTTCAGGGTAATTAAACATCTGCCTGGCTGCTGGCAAAGGGTTAGGACTACAGACCCTGTAGCCAACACTCCAGGCCACAGTGGAAACACAGGCCAGCAAAGCAAGGACAGCCAAGTGCTCAAGTTGTTAGGAGGCAGTGAGAGCAGCACTGAGCGTGTGCAGCCTGGAACCTCAGCAGCAGTTTGCTCCACAATTGGAGGTGATGCGCACTGAGGGCATTTATGGCTGACGGAGATTGTGTGATGTGAGGAAGTGCAGTCTCACTGACCTCTCGCTGGGTCCTCTATTTACCAGATCCCCAGAAACACAATCCAAAGGGGAAACACTTTGAATCCACAAAAAGTCCTACTCCTGTTCCCAGGTTTACAGGTCACAAATCCGGGAGATGAGCTGTGAAGGGGAGGATCACTCAGTTTCCACTTCTGCCAATGATCTCCACAACCTAAGCGTTTCCAGATTGCCGAGTTTCTGTGATACATCAGCAAATAAATAACACAGCCTGTGCTAGCAGCTCCAGTGTTTCCAACAGCACAGCACAGCCCGCCTGAGCAGACAAATGGCCTGCTTCTGTTGTTAACTGGCTTCAACACCCTGAGCTCGGGAGAATAGAAACTTAGCCAACTCTCTGCTGATGACTATCCAGCGACTATCGTGTGTGAGCATCAGGCGAGTACAGAGCCTGGACCAGGCAGAGACAATTATAATGAATTCACCTGCTGCTGTTACTGCCAGGCTCACATATGCCCTGCCCCAGGCGAGGGTGAGAGCACTGTCTGGGGAGCTCAGCAACAGTCACAGGATGGAGCAGGGCAGAACATTGGTAAAGACAGGTGCTATACTTTGGATGAGACCTTAAGCTGAGGCCCCACAATAGTCACTACGCCTCACAGTAATTCCTGTGAAGCTCTTTGAGACACCTCGAGGATGTGAAAGGAGTTGTAATAAATTTAAGGATGATTAATAGTTAATCGAGGAAAAGGAGAGACCAACAATATTTCCCCGACCATCAACCCGTCACACTCTCCCTGTCCCACTGGGAGAGCTTTGCTCTAACACAACAGAATGTTCCAGAAGCCGAGTCTGTGCACAACAACAATGCTCCTTTATGGTGAAGGCAGAAGTTGCCGCACAATCAGCATTTGTTGAAACCGGAGGCGTTGAATCAGACCGACTGCTCTCCTCCCTGCTGACAGCTCAAGCTCACTCCGTCACTCTGCACCGTGTCGCTGGGCTACAAGCAGTGATATGCCTTCCAGGGTCACAACCAGAACAATACCCGCTCCCAACATCTCAAAGGCATATAAAAGCAAACGCTGTGCATGCAGTTCAGTAAACGCTGATTTGTAACCACCAGACAAGATGAGGATAAAACAATTGGCAATCAAACACGTCAACCTAGAGCGTGCGGCCTAGGCTAGCATTAAATACCTGTGGTGTCGGCTGTCCTCCCAGAGGGGCAGAGCTCTGAGGCGTGGACGAGGCAACAGAAGCAGGTGGGAAGCGTGGCCGGACAGAGATCCCAGAGCGGGCCAGAGTAGGTATCATCTTTGAGGACAGAGGGACAACAAACAGGTAATCGCAAAACAAGAATGCAGTGCACTGCGGAGCATGGTCAAAGCACACACGTCCCCAGCTAACAGAGCAGCCAAAGGCAGCTCTTCACCATTGCCCCTCTCCACCTTTCATACAGCATGTTTCTGTTGTGTGGCATTCAGTCAGGCTCCAATATTCCCAAGCTTTCTGCTCTGAAAGACAGCTGTGAAGAAAGAATCCATTTCCTGAATCTTTCGCTCTCTGTGGAACTTAATTTTCTTTTTTTAAAAAAAGTTTTGTGTGTATGTTTAGGTGGATATGGACAGCGCTAACCTTTAAAACAAGTGTTAAAGTTTCTAACAAATTGCATGTACTTTATAGAGTGTTCCTTCAGACCTTGTTAATCTATATTTATAGTGTGTGGGTATAAATACACGTCGCAACCGTCATCTTCAGAATCAGAATAATAATTAAATAGCATCTTGATTGAGGTTTAATTATCCAATTTGTTCTTCAGCTCAGTCCAAGTTTCACTTACGTAATACTTACACATTCCTCATTCACAAATCAGGTAAGAAACACTGTAAATGAGATCTCACAGGATCAGCAGAATAATTTGGGGTCAAGTCTGTTTTGCTCTAGGTATAAACCAATAGGCTTCCCTCCTTCACCTGACAGGAACTGGTCAAACACAGCGTGCGATAGTCTACAGATTTCTCAATGAACCTTGGTGGCACCTAACACCACACAACACTAGCAGTTTGCTGGAACACAGGGAACACAAGTCACGTGAACAAGATGCAGCCAATTAAGTTGGCCCTCTTGGTGATGTTTGAAGCAGACGCTGTACATGCTTGCTAGCTCCTGTGCCAGGCCCTCTTGGCCTTGGGAGTTATTAATCCACAGGCTGCGAGGAGCGAGCTTTACACAGTCACACCAGCACCAGGCCTGATCTCCTTCCCCGGGACGCATGTGCTTTATAGAACAACAAAAGCTGTTGAAATACAGCGATACTTAAACTTAAAAGAGCAGAGAGAAAGCCCACAAGTGTGGTTACATCGACAACTCCATTAGCTCCCAGCAGCACAGACAGACAGACAGACAGACACCAAGTGCACGGAAAGGTGATTAACATAGGAAGCACCACAACATGCAGCAAACAGACAAAAACTGAGAAAGGCAACTGTCCATGTAAAGCAGAGCAGTCTGTCGGTGCTCTAAGCCCTCATTAACACTGCACAGCCTGGTCAGTCATCACATCACACCACTTAGTGAGAGAAAGGGATGCAATATTAAAGCAGCTCCGACGCTACTCAAACAACAAACCTGACAGATATTTCTGCAGGACAAATGATTTCAGCCGTACACCGACCACCGTATCAGAGCTTCAAAGCTTTGAGTAAGTCACCACGAACGTATACATACTACACATTTGGTAACAATGTTTGGTGGGAAAGGTCCATGAATCAAAATCCTGGGGCCAGTACGGGCCGGCGCCATCGCTAACCTGAGACACGGCAGCTATATTACAGTCAGAGCACCACATGTCACTATCACCCAGATACCCACCCCACGGTGCCAGACACCCAGCTCACCACACTGAGCTCACACACACACACACAGCTCACACACACACACAGCTCACCACACTGAGCTCACACACACACACACAGCTCACACACACACACAGCTCACCACACTGAGCTCACACACACACACACAGCTCACACACACACACAGCTCACCACACTGAGCTCACACACACACACACACAGCTCACACACACACACAGCTCACACACACACACCCAGCTCACCACACTGAGCTCACACACACACACACAGCTCACCACACTGAGCTCACACACACACACAGCTCACCACACTGAGCTCACCACACACACCACACACCACAGCTCACCCACACACACAGCTCACCACACTGAGCTCACACCACACACCACACACAGCTCACACACACACACAGCTCACCACACTGAGCTCACACACACACACAGCTCACCACACACACACACACAGCTCACACACACACACAGCTCACCACACTGAGCTCACACACACACACAGCTCACCACACTGAGCTCACACACACACACACACAGCTCACACACACACACAGCTCACCACACTGAGCTCACACACACACACAGCTCACCACACTGAGCTCACACACACACACAGCTCACCACACTGAGCTCACACACACACACAGCTCACCACACTGAGCTCACACACACACACAGCTCACCACACTGAGCTCACACACACACACAGCTCACCACACTGAACACACACACAGGGTATCAGACACCCCTCGACGTACTGAATTTACAGCTCAACGAGACCTTAAAAACATTCAAAATCTTAGGAATTTTACAGCACAATGCAGTGTTTCAGTCCTTGGGTTTGTGTTGTGCTAAATACGGGGGAAATCCTTTCCCTGGAGCGCAGGCTGATAGTGTGTGTGCACTATGAGCCACGATAACTAGCTGTACAGCCAGCTTCGTGTCATCAGGTCACTGCTGCGGTAACCAGGAGGAAGCGGTGCTCACGTCACTTCCCGTGCACCACGATGTGCAGGAAGTAACAGGACAACCCAGAAGACGGCCCTTTTGCCTTGCTTTGGACACGTGCGGTCACTGGGACGGTGGGCTTCCCTGTACCTCTCACGTGCCTCAAAAAGTGTCAGCACAGAGCAGGGCATTGCCTCACACTCAACGGAGAGACTCCACTGAACACAACACTGTATTCTTCTCTGGAAACCAGGAGAGAAAAAAAAGAAGATCTGGCTCACGGCAATTCTGTTCACAACGATTTCATGATGATTTCTCTTCTGTAAGAAGAGGCCATGTGTTGAGTTACTGGCAACTCGAGCACAGTATTAAGGTTAAACTGGAAAATGCCGAACATTTGTGCTAGTTAGTGCGTACCATCGTGTCAACATCTCCCAACCACTCCTCAAGTAATGGTTAAACCACAGAGACAAAATGCAACTGCTCTCTCTCCGGTGACCAGACTCCAATCCATTAAACCCTAAACCGGAATGTGGACAAGCAGAGCCAGACCATGAGAGTGATCCCAGCAGACAACCAGACATAACTAGCAATTTTACAAGAAATTGATTGAACAGTTTCCACCTGACTTCCCTATTGTGTGTGTGCGTGTCTGTGTGTGAAGACACTTTCATTCACTTTCAATTCAGGAATACTTTCTGTAATTCCAAAAATACATTCAAAAATGGAAACATATACTCTTAAATATTTCTGCAATTTTACAACAACATTTTGTAGTTACGACTGTAAGTGGATTAAATATACAGAACTTTCATTCCAGGCCACATGACACTGTTCTTTATTCTCCTGTGGAGAGGACAACATCCCTCAGAAACCATCGCAACCCCCACTCCATGCTGATCAATCATGCAAGCCTCCCCCGGCCCCCCCAATCACCAAGCTTACCTGCCCACCTGCTCCCATTTGTGCTTGAGCTTGTGCCTGTGCCTGTGCTTGTGCCTGAGCTGCTTGCTGAGGAAACTGAGTCCGGACCTGGTACAAAAGAAGCATCAGGAGAGGGAGCGCTGTGTCAGAGAGAGAAAGCTGTGTCAGAGAGAGAGAGAGCGCGCGCTGTGCCAGAGGGAGAGAGGGCGCTGTGCCAGAGGGAGAGAGGGCGCTGTGTCAGAGAGAGCGCGCGCTGTGTCAGAGAGAGCGCGCGCTGTGTCAGAGAGAGCGCGCGCTGTGTCAGAGAGCGAGAGAGAGAGTGCTGTGCCAGAGGGAGTGAGTGCTGTGTCAGGAGAGTGCTGTGTCAGAGGGAGAGAGTGCTGTGTCAGAGGGAGAGAGTGCTGTCAGAAGGAGAGAGAGAGAGTGCTGTGTCAGAAGAGAGTGCTGTGTCAGAGGGAGAGAGTGTTCTGTCAGGAGAGAGAGTGCTGTGTCAGAGGGAGAGAGAGAGTGCTCTGTCAGGAGAGAGGTGGATCCTTGCATTAACTATTGTATTATTGAAGCGACTAATTAAGGTTTCAGACCTCTTGGTCACTGTCCGCGGGGGCTGTTGAATGTACCTGCTGGATGGCTGAGAGCTTGACCTGCTGTGTCTGTTGTGTGAGGGAGGAGGCTATCCCCGTGTGAGGGCTTGGCCCCTGTGGCTGGGAGACCATGGACTGGGGCTGGGGCTGGGGCTGGGGTGGAAGCTGTGATTGCTGTTGCTGCTGCTGCTGTTGTTGGAGCTGCAGTATCTGTTGCTGTTGTATTTGCTGCTGTTGGACCTGCTGTTGGACCTGCTGTTGGTGCAGGAGTAATCTCTGTAAAAACAAGCAGCAAAGGGAGTAGTAAAGTAGGAATAAACAGGCGTTTTAAAAAGACAAAGACCCTTACCCCATATCCCTTGATACCCTGACCTAATAAACATCTATCCACCTCAGTCTCCCTACTGAGAGGGGCCACTGTCAGTTATAAACAGGCTTGTGGTAAAGCCATTTGCTGAAGTCCACAGCCGTTCAGTGTGACTGCAGTTATAACCCACCCAGTATCCCAGCAACTATACCAACTTAAAGCATTGCTTCCGTTAAAGCCCAGCATCGTCAATCCAACAAAGCCCACTGTTCTGTTCAGTCCTTGTGCCCTGGCACTGCTGTGTTTACAGCACAACCCACAACTCACAAAGCCCTTGGTGTATCAGGCAATGGGACACTGCCCTTAGCAAGTTGTGTGAAGCTGGGAACATTTACATTACTATTTAATATGATAAACAATCAGAACCTTGGTGGTGATCACCTCCCCATGCCCCACGTGTGGCTACAGATATACCCCAGGTGACAGTGACCAGCCATGTATGCCTGTGCTCAATGCCAGCCTATTTTCTGAAGCACCCATCTTGTGGGGTCCAGTCACCACAGACAGCAGCCTTCGAATGGGGCACGCAAGAGCCCTTCGTGCTCAACAGGACTGAGTGGGTAAACAGCTGAGTTTCCTGTGGGAGATAAGGAGCCATTTACCCTGTTTATTGCCATGGTGCCACATCACTTGGTCTCCAGATAGGACTGGCACAGAACTAGTTACTGAACATAGCAAGGAATGGGCTGCTCCTCCAGCTGTCCTGACAGACGTGTGTGATTCGGCACCAATACCTGCTGCTGTTGCTGATGCAGTTGTAGTTTTATGATTTGTTGCTGCTGGAATTGTTGTTGCTGCTGTTGCTGCTGCTGTTGTTGTTGCTGCTGTTGTTGTTGTTGCTGCTGTTGCTGCTGCTGCTGCTGCTGATGGAACTGCTGCTGCTGCTGTTGAGCAATTTGTTGCATTGATAACTGGGCTGGAGGAGGCAATTCATAAAGAACAATCATCAACACTAGTCCTTTTGCCATTTAGACACAGCTTTAGCGAGACTCCGTTAACCCAATAACACAGTGGCTGACAGCTCAGCAACAGGGGAGGACGTCCTCACACCACAAGTCAGGGTAATGAATGGCCATGGGCAATGTGTGTGAGCAAGTGGGGCGGCAGCGAAATCTACTGCAGACACTCTGCCTGCCCCAGGACTGATATAATCCCCCCCACCCCACTCACCGACAGTAGTGAAGTAGACATCCCAGCCGTGACAAAGCTGCCACGCAAACAATGAATTGGAATAACTTGGACAGCGAATGGACAGTAATCATATAAAAGCTTCACTATTTCCATGTGCTACTCACACTGCTGCTGTGCACTTGTCTGGAAACCAGGCATGTGAGGGAGCATTGCTGAGGTACCCGGCTGAGCTTGTCCAGGAAGAGTCATTGGCTGCCCCATTGCCAGGCCTGGCATCCCAGGCAGGGGTCCTCCGGGGGGCCGAGAGGGCATCATCCCGCTCGAGCCCCCCGAAGGGACACCTTGCAGGTTCTGCAAAGCATTGATGGGATCTGCAACAACAGGGGCAATGTTACACTGCAAATCCAGACACTCACAGGTTTACAATCTGATATCCAAACACACATTATTCCTCATCCCACTGTGCCTCTTTGCTAATATTTAATGTACAGCAACAACCCTCCTATTCACAACGGTATTGCTTCAAAAGAAATGTATCGCTTGATTCTGAGAGGGGAGGCTGAGGATTAAAGGAAGAAAAATTAACTTAGATAGTAATAAAATGATAATCTTTGCATTTGATATAGCGCCTGATCATGTTGTTGTGATGTTTCAAAGCGCTTCACGGAATACACTATAAAGTGTAGCAAATGTATTTTGTGGCCGAAACGTGGCAGATGTCAGAAAAGGAGTGGGAAACACTTGGAAATGTAACCTGCACATGAAACAGAGGCCAAACATGAATGGACTGAAAGGATTGCTGTTTAAATGAGCAGCACTGACACAGTGGGCTGAATGGCTGCCTTCTGTGTTGTAAATTACTACGGTTCTACAAACCCTTTTACCCATTCTCTGCCGCTCTTGCGAGGATATGTGACTGACTGTCACGCTTCCCAATATTCTCTCTTTCTCTCTCTTGCATCGTGGATTGGGGAAAGTGACACAGCAGATAGTGACTGACACCACTGCCAATCAATCAATAAATATTGCTTGTTTGAGATGACATTTAATTCAGTTGATTCCCCCGCAGGGCATGTGCCCATTGCGGTGACACATTAGGGCTGCCCCAGGCACAGGAGGTGGTTGCTGTATCAGGTCTTGGTGGGTTTTACCCTGTGATTTTTCAGTGAAAAGTTGGAAATTAAATCACTACTTACCACCACTTCGGGATTTCTTATCTGCAAAGACATGAAATGTCAAAAGATTACACAGTGCTCACAGCTTTGACAGATGCAGCCAATGTAAAGAGGCACTTTTTATCTGCTGACAAACGGACAGAAGGTATTGGGAGTTATTTATGAGTCAATCATATACGGCATTTAGAAGAGTGACACACCGTTAGGAAAATCTCTTCCAGTTAGAAAATCATAATTTGTGCAACAAAGCGACAAAACATTGCAACAGTGAGAGGCAAGTACTCACGAATATCTCGAAAGTGCAGAATAAGCCTCGCCACCAAACTGAGATACTCTTCCTGTTGACAAATGAAGGAGAATAAAGATGTGAGACATAAGGTGAGGAAGTCTCACAGTTTGACAAACGAGAGAAAGCAAAGAAGCTATCCTGGGTTCCAGAGAGGTCTTACACATCTCCTTCCAATCAAAATTACAGGCGAAGATATTTAGGGAAAGGATATCATGCTGGAATTACCTACTTATTGCATTACTCCTCCTACCTCTCCGACCTGCTAACGCCTTATCAACCTGTCCGCTCCCTCCGCTCAGCAGGCTCCAGCCTGCTCCATGTCCCCCGGCTGCCCCACTATCAGTAGTTGGGCCTTCAGCCTCTCTACCCCCACCCTCTAGACCTCCATCCCACATTCCTAGAGTATTGTGTGCAGTTTTGATCTCCTTATTTAAAAAAGGACATACTTGCCCTAGAGGGAGTGCAGCGTAGATTCACTTGGTTAGTTCCTGGGATGAGGGACTGACCTATGAGGATAGGCTGAATAAACTGGGGCTGTATTCTCTAGAGTACTTATTGAAACATATAAGATTCTTAAAGGGCTGATAAAGTAGACACTGAGGGTCTGTTTCCCCGGTGGGAGAATCTATAACCAGGGGTCACAATCTTAAAATTAAGGGTCAGCCTTTTAGAACAGAGTTGAGGAAACATTTCTTCACTCAGAGGGTAGTGACTTTATTGGAATTCACTCCCCCAGAAGGCTGTAGATGCTCAGTCAGTCCTTGAACATCTTCAAGGCTGAAACTGATGGATTTTTAAAAAACAGAGGGATTAGGGGATATGGGGACAGGGCAGGTAACTAGAGTTAGGTGAGAAGATCAGCCATGATCTTATCGAATGGCGGAGCAGGGCTCGAGGGGCCGAATGGCCGACTCCTGCTCCTAATTCTTATGTTCTTATTCCTTACGCCTTGCTCCCTCACTTGCCTCCTTCAAGGCATGCCTCAAGACCCTACTCTTCGTCTGGGCCTTCAGCCACCCTCCTACCCTCCCTGATCCCAACCCTGCTCCCACCTCCCGCTCGGGTCCTAATCCCTGACTGTTCAGTGCCTTAGGATGTGCTCCCAAAGTGAAAGGCTCTTTACAAATGTAATTTTGTATTGTTATTATGTCACAACCAGAGATGGTATAAACCACTCCCGGCAACGCATACGCGCATAGAGACACTCACATGTAGAAATGTACACACACGCATGCGTATACACACACATAGAATCCTAGTCAGGTGCTCAGTCACCATCAGCAAAGCTGTAGTTGTAGGACATCGAATTAATACCTTTAAGTTATTTTCCATTTCAGAATACATATGGAACATTTAAAGGTGTTTGACCCTGAGGCGCGCTCACTAATGTTCAGCCACGCGTGCGCCATCCTGGAAATAACTTTTCAAATGAAAAAAAGTTTTATTGTTTGAGAATGGGTATAAAAATGAGTAACGTTACCTTTCTCACATCTCAATTGTACAAAGCTGAAGGAAAAGCATTCCAAACGGCAGCCAAGTTAGAAACAGTAGCTACAGGACACACAACTCCACAGCCTAAATATACTAACACCTCAACTGCTCCAGTACTTTGTGCTGACAATCTGCAGCCTCCGTGTAATCGTGACCACACAGCCACACTCACACCCCGCTCCATCTCAATATCTCTCCACTGTTCAATATTAGCCTAGTTTTTTTTTAAAAAAAGGGAAACGATCTCCCACCTCAGGTAAAACCCAGTGTCCTTTCAGCCGCTTGCTGGTACAGAACAGTGCTGAGCATCAGTGCTGTTCCTCTCAAACAACGTTGTCATTAACGGGACAGCTGGAGACTGACATGTAATGTACACAGAGTTTCTGACAATCTAAAGTGCTCAGTAAGTCAGCAATTTACATTTTCAACAAGTATAATTGAAGAAGCCGCGAGGAACACTCAGGTTTCACTACGGGCACGTCTCTCTCTCTCTCTTTTTCCTCTGTTCCGCCAGTTATCTTTTAGTTTGCCCTTAAAGTGATTATTGGTATATTTGCGACACTCATCAGAGAATCAGCATTTACTCAACAGGGTGCGAGATAACCAGTTTGGAACGACAACAACAACCAACTGAACTTATATAGCACCTCCCAAAGCCATGAAGTAGATCAGTTGGCACAAGGGCAACATTCTACCACAATCCATTCAACACCTCACAAAAGCATTTAGATCTTGAAATCAAAGAAGCAATGGAACGAGCATCCACACACACTTCATCATATTCTGGACAACATACACAGCAGTGGGAACTCACTCACTCACTCACTCACTCACTCACCCTGGTCTTGGCCTTCATGAACACATGGTGCTCCATGTCTTTGCTGGACTTGGTGATGGGCGTCCCTGCTGCCCGCATGGCGTCGTCACTGGTCAGGAATAGGACAGGCAGTAAACTCTCAGCAAGAGAGGGAGTGGGGGGGAGAGAGAGAGAGAGAGGGGGGGGAGGGGGAGCGAGAGAGGGGGGGAGGGAGGGGGAGAGGGGGGGGGGGGAGATCAGCGCTAGGAAAGTCCGAGGCTTCCGCGCATGCAGGGCCTCGTCCGCCCCCAGGCGGCGCTGAAGCCTCGGGCTGGGTTGGCGACCCAGAGGAGAGTGCGTGAGGCGGCGCTGAGCGGCCCCGCCCGCGGGTACTCACATCTGCGCCACCACTTTCTGCCGGAAAGCCACGCTCCGCCAGTCACTCTCCCCCACACTCGCCTCCATCGCGCACACCGCACAGCATGCCGGGCCGGCCCGCGCCGGAGGACTCCTGGTCCTCCAGCCCCGCCCCCGCAGCGTCACCCCGCCCCTCACACCATGACCCCGCCCCCGCAGCGTCACCCCGCCCCTCACCTATGACCCCGCCCCCACCACGTGCCCTGAAGCCAACACAACAACAACAACATGACATGTGTTTAGCGCCTTTCATGTGGGAGGACGTCCTGAGGCGCTGAACAGTCAGAGTTACAACAACAACAATGTCATTTACATACAGTGTCGCTGCTCACTGTCCCCGGCCGCTGGATAATAATAATAATAATAATAATAACAATAATAATAATAATAATAATCTTTGCATTTGATATAACGCTTTTCACGTCGGGAGAGGACGTCCCAAAGCGCTTCACAGAACACACTGTAAAGTGAATTGACTGTATATTTGTGGGCGAACGCGGCAGCCAATTGCGCACAGCAATGTCCCACAAACAGTCGTAGATTGAAAATGACCAATTTATTATTGTTTTGGGTTTTTGGAGGGACTATTATTAGGCTCTGTGTGGAGTAAGGAAACTTGCCCAAGGTTTCGCCCTCTGCCTGGAATTGAACTCAGGTCTCTCGCTTGCAAAGCGAGTGCTCTAACCACTGAGCTACAGGACTCCAAGCCATAATGAAGACTTTGGTCCCGAGGTGGGGGTGGGGTCAGGAGGGGTGGGGTCGGGAGGGTGGGGTCAGGAGGGGTGGGGTCAGGAGGGGTGGGGTCAGGAGGGTGGACCACATTTGAGTCATCAGAGATCCACCTGTATCAATGAACACGACAATGCTGATGGTGGGACCACACAGGAAGGGTTTGTCCTACAGGAACAGTGGAGTCCTGTAGCTCAGTGGTTAGAGCACTCGCAAGTTTCCTTACTCCACGCCTCTGTTTACCAACAGTAAGTAGGAACCCGGTTGTTAGTCGATTGGTGGATTGCTTTCCAGGGATAATATTCCCTTCAAAATAATGATAATAATAATAATTTGGTCACTTAAGCCACAACTGTCATTGTTCATTGATTAACTCTATTTTACCCCAATTCCACAAAATAACCTATGGGTGAAACGTTTAACAATTATCACATTAAACCGCATATAAAATATCACTTTTTCACCCCCTGGATGTGTAACCAATTCCCAATGCTGTAATAATCCTATAATAATAATAATCCTTGCATTTGATATAGCGCTTTTCACGTCGGGAGGACGTCCCAGAGCGCTTCACAGAATATACTGTAAAGTGAATTGACTGTATATTTGTGGGTGAACGAAGCAGCCAATTGCGCACAGTAATGTCCCACAAACAGTCGTAGATTGAAAATGACCAATTTATTATTGTTTTTGGTTTTGGAGGATTATTATTACCATCTCCTTTCACGCTGGAAAGGTACAGGTAAACTACTCCCCAAATCAAGGACATGATGATCCGATTGCTAACTTGTGCATCTAATATAAACCACACAGTGTCCAGGCTTAACACCAACGATATCCTTATTCCATTCCTTTCTGAACAGGACACGGTGGGCTGCTGTATTCCGTCCATAGCTGACACTCTACCCCTACACCCTGTTAGACACTGCGGCTGAAGTATTACCTTAATGAGGGACACGAACACAAAGACCATGTGTAGCTGCCTGAAGTCAGCAGAGGATGAACAGACTGAAGAACTGCTCCCATCCGTATCACTTTCTTTTTAGGAATAAATTGCCTCATTTGTCATGATACCCTCATTGTTGGTAATCCTCCTACCATTGATTGCCTTTGCCAGATTAGCACAGTGTTAATTCGAACGCTAATGGGAGTTAGAATTGGAACAGTTAATATCTAGTCTACGTTTTGATGCAAAGCCGGAAACAAATTATACAGGACACATAAACCAGCATGAAACTACCACTGCTCAGTTCTTCACAACATAATAAAAGGTGTCATTTGGGGGATATAATACAGTATTGCCATTCTAACCTGAAGCAGTGGGTGTCCCAATGGGAATGGATCAGTCATCGCAGACAGTTAGGTTCCTTTATTGTCTCACACTTCACTTCCCCGAGCACTGAACACCCGCACTTACCAGCTGTTCAGTGGAAGTAAAATTCTCGAAATAAAATTGCTCCTCACTCCATGGCTGTTTATGAGACGCTGCTAAGTGCAAATTGCCTGCTGTGTTTGCCCACTAAATGCACACTCACTACATTTTACAATGTTTCCTGTGAAGCGCTTTGAGACTTTTTGATGTTGTGATAATTGGCCGTATTAAATGCAAGGATGACTGAATTGCCACATGCCTCTCCGTAACTGGCCACCAGGTGGCAAGCAAGAGTTACTCTGGGTCAGTCTGTCTGAAATTCCACCTGGTCTTAGCCCGTGAGACCTTTTTGCCTGTTGCAGAATTGTGGAAGATTCTTAAACTCAGTCTATATGTCAGCTCAATTTCCACAGTTTTTAAAAGGTTTCCAAATTAATACTGAATTAATCAAAGTGGTCTTAGTGACTAGTAACTGGGTGGAATTTCAGGCCAAGGAGCAGACCTTCAGAAGGTGATTAAGTGAGCGAGTAATATTTCAGCTCTCAGCCACCCAGGACTGACAATCCTGTAAAAAGCACAAACTCGGAGCGAGCGAGAGAGATACAGAGCGAGAGAGTTAGAGAGAGGGAGAAGGTTACTGAGCTAGATAGTGTAATAGGGAGAAAGAAAGAGATAGAGAGTTACAGAATGAGACAGTGTTAAAGAGCTGGAGTGTTAGAGAGAGTGTGATAGCGTTACGAAGTCTGCTTTTATCAGATGTACATCATATTTGCTGCTCAGAAAATCGATTCACATTTTACCTTGAAGCTGAGTGAAAGATAGTGAGGCTGAAATCAATTCTGATTCTGCAGCAGGGTGCAATTCTCCCATTGCTTCACAGACCATACCACACGCCAAGGACAGGCTGCTAACTGGGCACAAAGAGCTTTATTGACTGGTATATTCATGTGAACAGATGAGCCCTGTTGATGTTATTCAACCAGGAAGAATTTACTATATTTCCTTTCCTGCCTATGCTGTAGATTGTGCTCTGAGTTGACAGCTGACAGATCTCTTCCCTCGCCCCTTGTCATCAGTGTATCCGTGCTGTGTGTCACATTATCCCACAGAAGCCAGGAGAGAGGAAGTTGTTATCCCTTTGTTTGTTAGATTTTATAATTATAATAGATTATAAGTTAACACTGACGGGGCAGGATGGATTTGTGCTGATACAGCGCCTCCCCCCGCCTGCTCACATCCTGCCTCCGCACACACCTCACCAGGCTTAAAATGCCGATTGTCCATTTCACCTCAGATCAAGACGCTTGGGAGGAGGATGTATGTCCCTTTGGCCTGTAGAGCTGCAAAGGGCAGTTTCAGGATAGACACCAGGAAGGTTTTCTTTACACAGAGGGTAACTCACCAATGGATGTGGTTGTCAGGAAGGGTGGCTGAGGCAGGGATAATGGGAGCAGATTGATGGTGTGATGGGGGTACGGTGGGTGGCTGGTCTGAAAGGATGAGGTCAAATGGGCTGAAGAGCTTTCATCATCCAGACCGACCTTGTGATCTCACCTCCAACTGGAGCCGCGTCACTCGGGCTGTCAGTAAGAGCAAGGCCCAGGTTTCATTTAATCTAAACTAACTCCAGTACATTGGAGATGAAAAACTTTGCTTGTTGCTATATCAATGATGAACCAAACGCTCTTGTCCCCATATTTTGCGTTGTTTTCCTCTCGCCAGATGTCTGGGAGGTGGGGGAGCTGGCTGACAGAGAATTTGACATGTGGAACCATGTATAATTGTATTTCATTGTAACACTCACTTCACTCCACTACACAGACATTCCCATCAGCTGGCTTCTCTGTGTTCCTCTCTGTGGCAAGATAAATGGATTCCATTTGAGATGGATATGTCTCATTACAAAGTGTAACAACGCATGATTTTTCACTTTGAGCCAGGCGTGACTGATAGTGTTTAGATTCTTGTTATAGTTTTTTGTGGGCAGAATTGCCTCCCGGATGTAATGGTTACGAATAAAATCACAAAGCTTCCCATTTCCAACTGAATATTCCCAATGTTCCTGACTTTCCTGTGACCAGGTACAATGTACATGATGCATGGGGAGAACAGTGTGGGCTGACGATGGGGGAGAGAGAGCAGCAGTGATACTGACTTCAGCGGGTTTGCTGTGTGTTTACAATGCTCTGGTCTGACTGCTGTTAGGTGGGCTGATGTCCAGAGGAGACAGATGGGCTGAAGGGCTCCTTTATCAAACAGCTGTTAAGAGAGCTGAGTGTCTGAGTTTGATTACCAAGACGTTCTGTTAGTTTGCTGATATCCTAATTGATGCTGCAGCTTACTGAGCCCACACAGTGTAGATGCCAACTCTCCAAATCAACCTTGTGCTTCCTGCCAGCTGCTCAGCATCAAGCAAGCACCAGGAGCCACCGCTGCCCCCTGGCCTATCCCCCACCGCCTAAACCCCCACTGGCCTAATCTCCCGCCCCAGGCGTATCAGCCCTGGATTACCGCCCTCAGCAGAACCACACAGCCAGAGGCAACCATACGGGTCCTGATGCCTGAAATGACCAGAGGTCATTAAGGGTGGAGTGAAGCCTGCTGCTGATGACAAGCTAAATGAGAGGCTGATTGAGTTCTGGGCTCTGGGCTGTGCTCCTGTGTGTGGCCATTTCTCTGGCCATCACAATATAATTTGTTTACTGTCAGCAAAGCTCGGGATTATTTAGTGTGGGTTCTGGGGGTAAATGTCTGTACAATAAGCAAAGACATGTTCCCATTCATGTCAGTGTCAGCCCCCCACAGCTCAGCCCCCACCCCCCACAGCTCAGCTCCCACCCACAGGTCAGCCCCTAAAGTTCAGTGCTCAGCTCCACTCTGCTGGTTCCTCATCAGCTCCAAGGGATTCAGGCGAGAACTGGTAGCAGCAGCTGACTGAGAATGTCCAGCCAAGCCTCCTCTCTCACTGAGGAGAGCTCTGCACTCCCCAACAGCATTAGTCCTCA